CAGCACTCTTCTCCAGAATCACATCTCACGTCCCCCATCCTACATCTGGTACATTTCATTTTTCTGCCCTAAGTGCAGTACTTTACATTTCTCTGTGTTGAAATTCGTTTTGTCAGCTTTTCTAACCTCTTGAGGTCATTTTGAATTTTGATCCTCTCCTCTGGGCTTTTAGCTACTCCTCCTCCCAATTTGGCGTGCCCCTTATTTATTCTTCCACCCGAGTCATGGATAAAGATGTTGAATAGCCCTGGGCCCAGGACAGACTAGGTGACCTTTGGTGTCCCTTCCTGCTGCTACGGATCCTCTGCTTCTTTGCAATTCAGTGCAATTCAGTGCAATTCTTTGCAGTTCAGTGGTTTTGCACATGCATGCGCCTGCTTCTGATCTTGGAAAGGGGTCCAGAAGAGCCGCCTTCCCTCCATCCCTCCATCCCTGTATCCATCCCTGTATCCCTTCCTCCATCCAAGGCCCAGGCGAGGATGGTGGGGATGCGGATGCGGATTCCCTCCCTGGGGAGGCCTCAGTTAACTCCCTTTCTCCTCTGATCACTTGATTTTTGCCTCATCATGCTCAGCGAGGGCACTTGTGCTTGAATAGCTTATTAACTTTATTGTCAGGTTGTGCAACTGAGGTTGAGCTGCATTAGCATCCATGGCCCAGGGGCTTTTGTGAGGAGCTGCAGCTGGGACCAATTCAGCTACAAAACAAAACAAAACAAAACAAAAAAACCCCAACCCTTTTCCCTTTCCCTTTTCCTCCTCCTCCTCCTCCTCCTTCCTCCAAACTCAGCATCATTTGCACAATCTGGAAACAGAGATGCCCCGAGTTGGAGTTGCGCTTGCATTGCAAACATCCCTAGGAGAGGAAGGCCCTTGGAGGCCTGGGGAGGTTTTGCAGCAGCAGCAGCAGCATCTGGAAAGCTTGCAGAGAGGTCACCCTTGCTTGCAGCAGTTGCAGATTTGCAGGATTGGGTCCAACCACCAACACCCGCCCCCCCCCCCCGAAAAAAATCAAGGGGGAGATTGCTGAGGCTGAGATGGTGCACCAACATACAGCACCAGTCCTCCTTAATATGTTGCTCCAGGTTGGAACAGAGCTTGGGAGAAGCGTATTTGGGGGATGCTGGAGGTTGTAGTGCCTCCCCTGAAGGGAATTTCCCCCAAATTATGTTCCAAAATCAATGTAGGTTCAAAACACACTGCAGAAATAATCCAGTTTGAGACCACTTTAACTGCCCCGGCTCAGTGCTAGGGAATCCTGGGAATTGTAGTTAATTGTGGCACCAGAGCTCTCTGACAGAGAAGACTGAGTGTCTCACAAAACTACAGTTCCCAGAATTCCCTAGCATTGAGGCAGCGCATTTAAAGTGATCTCATACTGGATTATTTCTGCAGTGTGTTTAGAACCAATGTCAGTGAGGTTCACCCAGGTCTGCTATATGGACAACTTTCCTTCTTCCATTAGAGATGAAATGAAGGAAAACCTGGAAGTTGGCTCACTTTATGACTTTTTAGGCTTGCATCTGCACTGCAGACACTTTAACGGTCATGAGTCGTTGCTGTGGAATCCTGGGATTTATAGTTTGTTGTGGTGTCGGAGTTTGAGGGCTGGATTATAACTCTGGAGACCAGGGTTTGATTCCCAGCTCAGACACGAAACTCACTGGGTGATCCTGGACAAGTCACACTCTCTCAACCTCGGGGGATGACCATGGCAAACCTCCTCTGGACAAATCTTGCCAAGAAAATCCCATTATAGGTTCGCTTTAGGTTCACCATAAGTCGGAAATGATTTGAAGGTTTGTTATTGTTAGCTGTCCTCTTTGAGTCGGTCCCAACTGATGGCAAACCTGTGGATGCTACATCTCCAAGAAGTGTCCCAAGGAGAGAGAGCCCTGGCCTGATCTGTTGGGGATGCTTTGATTGGGAGTTCCTGCATGGCAGGGGGGGTTGGACTGGATGGCCCTTGTGGTCTCTTCCAACTCTATGATTCTATGATCTGTTCAAGAACCCCTTTCTTGGTCTTCTTGGCTCTCCATGGGATCCTAAGGACTCTTCTTCTCCAGCCCCACATTTCCATTAAGTTGCTTTTCTTCCTGTCTGCTTCCTTCCCTGTCCAGCTCTCCCATCCCTACATGGGGATGATGGGGAATACAATGGCTCCTGGACGATGCTGACTTTAGTACTCAGTCGTATGTCTTTGCTCTTCAGGATCTTTTCCAGTTCTTCCATGGCTGCCCTTCCCATTCCTATTCTTCTTCTCATTTCTTGACTGCAGTCTCCATTCTGGTCAATGCTTGATCCTAGAGATGGGAATTCTTTAATTATTTCAATTTCCTCATTGTCTAGAATGAATTTGTGTATTTCCTCCATGGTCATTATTTTGGTTTTCTTTATGT